GAGGCTGAGGCAGGAGAATTGCCTGAACCCAGGAGGCGGAGGTTGCGATGAGCCGAGATCGCGCCATTGCACTCCAGCCTGGGTAACAAGAGCGAAACTCCGTCTCAAAAAAAAAAAATAAAATAAAAAATAAAATAAAATAAAAGAGAAATCTTTCTATTAACTCTTGCCACATGCCTACGAACATATAACCAAAAAAATTGTTTGGCTATGAGTTATTTGTGGTTTCAGATGTATAAAACATTATTTCTAGTTAAAAGAAACTAGCCAGTGAAGGAGACTAAAAACATATTTTTACAGAATTTGAAAGAGTATCTGCTTTGTAATCATTCTTTTAACTGTACTAGTATTAGCATCCTAAATTATGTAAACTGGTTTCCACCATAGGTAAGAGTTAGGATTAAAAAAAAAAAAGAACGGCATATAAAATGGTCAAAGAAAAAAAGCTGCTTATGGCACCACTTCTTCCCCATCTTCATTTTGTAACTTCTCCAGTTTAGTCAGATCAACTTGGGCTCATTTAACAACTGCTCTCAGGAATAACTATTTGCACTTAAATGATTACTTTTACAGAGTAATCCACCAGACAATCTGCAAGTCCTAAATATTTTATAATATTTAAACAAGATACTTCGCTTTTAGAAAATACAAAACAAGGCTGGGTACAGTGGCTCACACCTGTAATCCCAGCACTTTGGGACACCAAGGCAGGAGGATCACCTAAGGTCAGGAGTTTGAGACCAGCCTGACCAACATGGGGAAACTCTGTCTCTAATAAAAATACAAAATTAGCTGGGCATGGTGGCACACACCTGTAATCCCAGCTACTCAGGAGGCTGAGGCAGAAGAGTCACTTGAACCCGAGATTAATCAATGTAAGATTTCTCACAAACTGTTTCTCCATTTTCTTGTTTATCTCTAGTCATGGGACCCAGATCTAGTATAAAGGTGGGGGTAGGGAGAATGACAGGAACAAATATTTCTGGAAAGGAAACCATTGGCTAAAATAGCATGTTAAGACTTAATATTAAGCTCTACTTCCATTTCAATATAAACTACAAATGACATTTCTCCACTTAGTCAAGCAAATAAAATAATCCCATTAAAAGTGTCTCACAAGACTGCAATTCAAGTACTATTCTGTAAAACAAACATGTACCTCAGTGGCAAAGGCAGAACTTTACACACTAGAACAGAAATTTTAGATATTTTGCCATTTTTAGTCACACATAATTACGTTTACTAGAGTAAACGCTAAAAACAAAACAAAACAAAATACCACTAAGTCTTAGAAGGGAAGAAAGAATGTTTTTAGCCCCTAAATGTCATCAATACGACACATGCTTTTTAAAGGTGTCTTTCAGTGGCCTTAGGTACTTATGTATGCAATCTGCCTTCTCCTCCCTTTGGCCAACCCCAACACAGTGAATCAGGTGGTTTACAGTTTCACTGATAACTGGTCCCTTGTGGTAGACTTGTCTTTAGTAACATAATTAAACTAACCACTTTCCATAATGTTTTAGAAACACACTACTTATTTTTTTAATTGCATTTTAGGTTTTGGGGTACATATGAAGAACATGCAAGATTGTTGCCTAGGTACATACATGGCAGTGTGATCTGCTGCCTTCCTCCCCATCACCTGTATCTGGCATTACTCCCCATGCTCTCTCCCCAACCCCCCACCCCCGCCACTGTCCCTCCCCTATTTCCCCATCCCCGACAGACCTCAGTGTGTGATGCTCCCCTCCCTGTGTCCATGTGTTCTCATTATTCAATACCCACCTATGAGTGAGAACATTCAAGAAACATACTACTTATATTAGGCAGCAGGTCCCCATCCTAGTACTCATCTCATAAGAATATATTTAAAGGTCTTTACAGAATTCTGTGATATTCCTTAGTAAAACTAGGGTAAGGTAAGACAGCTGAGAATCATGGCCCCATGAATCTGTCTCATTGCCTGACTGCTTCTGGCTGGAATTTCGCTGCACTATCCTGGTCTCCCCTGCTCCTTCTCCACCTGTCACAACTTTTTTCAACCTTCATGGGCCAACTCAAATGCCAACTCTATAAAAGAATCTGGGCTGGGTGCACTGGCTCACACCTGTAATCCCAATACTTTGGGAGGCCGAGGAAGATGGATCACAAGGTCAGGAGTTTGAGATCAGCCTGACCAACATGATGAAACCCATCTCTATTAATAATACAAAAATTAGCTGGGTGTGGTAGTATGCGCCTGTAGTCCCAACTTATCGGGAGGGTGAGGCAGAAGAATTGCTTGAACCCGGGAGGCAGAGGCTGCAGTGAGCCGAGATTGTGCCACTGCACTCCAGCCTAGCACCTGGCGACAGAGTGAGACTGTCTCCAAAAAA